ATTATTGCGACAATTCCTGGCTAGGTGAAAAAGATACGGCTCTTGAGTCCGTGCAGAAATAAAGCAGCCAGTGTAATAAGTATAAAGAACTATCTGCATGAGTGGTGCAACAATGAAGGCAAGAACCTGCAATAAATTGCTTCTTCCCTGTAATCAGGAAAATGTGAAATGTATGGGGACACATGTTAGGTTGGCTTAGTTGGTTTTAAAAGGCCTGTCTAATCAGGCAACAGATTTTTTTACAACACACACTTGTGTTGTTTTAGAAGAGGCATTTCCCATTGTGCGTGTGAAAGAGAATAAAGAATTCCTCTTACAAGGTCTGCTGTGACATGTTCTCAAATGAAACAAAAGAAGTTGTTACACACTACTTTTTAGGTGGGCCTCACATAACAGTTCATATATATGGAACAATCACTGATTAGAACAAGCCATGATGACTTCAGAAGCCTGTGTAATAGCAGTGTGTGTATGTGTGTGTTCATATAAACATGTATGTTTACACATGCAGTGTCTCATCTTCAGTTCTCACGGCGCTTTTCAGAGTGCACAAGGATAGGCCTCTGCCATAAGCAGCTTACAATAATAATAAAAAAAAGATTGATGCAGAGAAAATGGAGAAAGGGGGGGCAAGTGTAAGCATGGAAACAATACGCAGTGGATTCAATTACAGATGCTTAGGCTTCACAGCAAGATGTGAGAATGAGAGGGTTATGCCAAAGGCCTCAAAGGAAAAGTGGGCTTTGAGGTGGGTTGGATGTGAAGAAACACCAGCACACAGGTGTCCTGGGAGGCAGTTCCAAGTACCATATTTTTTGCTGTATAAGATGCACTTTTTCCCTCCTAAAAAGTAAGGGGAAATGTGTGTCTTATGGAGTGAATGCAGGCTGCGCAGCTATCGCTGAAGCCAGAACAGCAAGAGGGATCGCTGTGCAGTGAAAGCAGTGGGATAGCTGTGTGAAGCCTCTTCAGGGCAGCAGGAGGAATGCGTGGCTATCCCAGAAGCCAGAACAGCAAGAGGGATCGCTGCGCAGCAATCCCTCTTGCTGTTCTGAATTCGCTTCTCTCGAGTGGCACTGCGCAGAGAGGGAAAGCTGCGCAGCGCCCCTTCAGCAAAGTGGGAGGAGAAATGGAGCCCCTTCCATTTCTCCTCCTGCTTTGCTGGAGAGGTGCTGTGCAGAGAGGGAGAGCTTTACAGCACCCCTTGTCTAATCCCCTTTTGAAGTCACCCAAGCTAGTAGTTGTCGCTCAGTCTTGTAGCAAGTTCTGTCTTTTAACCATACATTGTGCAAAGTTCTTCCTTTTGGCTGTCCTGATCTCCTACCTAGCAGCTTCCTTGGATGTGTGTGGGGTGGGGTGGGGTGTGATATATGTATCTTCAAGGTTCAGGGTATCCAGATGAAACCCTTTGGTTGTTTATTAAATAGTTTAGTACAACATTTGATTAAGAATATTTTTTTTCTTGTTTTCCTTCTCTAAAAACTAGGTGCGTCTTATGGCCGGGTGCATCTTATAGAACGGAAAATACGTTGTATGGGGAGCAAGGGAGACTTGCTGTAGCTCATGGGTATGCAAACTAAGGACCGTGGGCCGGATGCGACCTAATCGCCTTCTCAATCCGGCCCTCAGATGGTCCAGGAGTCAGCGTGTTTTTACATGAGTGGAATTTGTCCTTTTATTTAAATGTATCTCTGGGTTATTTGTGCTGCCTACCTGGTGTTTTTACGTGAGTAGAATGTGTGCTTTTATTTAAAATGCACCTCTGGGTTATTTGTGGGGCATAGGAATTCATTCATTCCCCCCCCCCCAAAAAAAATATAGTCCAGCCCCCCACAAGGTCTGAGGGACAGTGGACTGGCCCCCTGCTGAAAAAGTTTGCTGACCCCTTCTATAGATGCTTGAAGTATCAGGTAGAGCTTTGGAAAGGGGTGGGTAGAAGAGTGAAGATGAACAGCAGGGCTGAGGGGAGAAGAGTTGGGGGGGCAAGGCGATGGAGGGCTCTGAAGGCAAGGTCAAGGAACATGTACTAGATTTGGAAATAGACAGGAAGCCAGTGTCTATTTAAGGAGGGGTGATTATTATGAAGGGAGGAGAATTATTTGGGAAACAGATTTCTGTGCAGATACGAGGGGACCCCGGTTGAGGCAGGGGAAGATCAGGGAGGCAGGGGGGTGCTGTTGCTGTTTTAAGGTGTGGTTCAGTCACATCACAGCACATCCGGGTTGCACAATGAAAGCTGATTTGGAGTTCTTGTGCAACAAACCTGCTTCCCCCAGGAGATCCGACTTCTTGAGATAAGGAAAGTGACTGGTAAAATGCAGTGAGGAGTCTGGAAAAGCACTTGCTAAACGTTATGTACTGAAGTTCTCACCCTGGGCCAGCAGGGGGATACTGTAGATGGTTCAGGTCCACATATGCAAATAAGGGATCGAAAGTGACATTCAGTGATTGGATAGTTACAGAAAATGGTTACTGTTGCGTTCTAGTGGAGCTCTATATAAGTAGCCTGGCTGAACCCTTCAATTCAGTTCTGTTCTGGCCTGTGAATAAACAAGAGCTGTTTGAAGAATCACTGTGTCGTCTGATATGTTCACCCACAACTTAACACTAAAGACTTCTTGCCTCCCTGCAAACAGAGTGAAAGCTCAATAAATGGGTCATTTAGAAGCACCCTTAGGGTGTGGGATGGCCTGGGCATGAATCAGAGTGTGTTCTTTTCTTTTTTTAAATCATTTTTATTAATTTTCCAATAAAAAACATCCAATTAATATATACAATGTTGTCTTGAGGGAAAAACTAGGGTTGGCTGTTGTTGCTTCTTCTTGGTTTTTTCTTTCTTTTTTTGAGAGGTTGTAAAAGGAGAAGCAAGGTGATCTGCATTTCTCCCCCTTTCAGGGTTGAGATTATTCTTAAAAGAATATGTGAGGTCAGTCCATTTAACTGATTAAAATTCACATGTTGCACTCCCAATTCCCCCCCCCCCGATTGATGAAGTGTGCTAACCTTAAACTGTGTTCATAAAACAAGCGATTGAAATTCCTCCTCATTAGCACATTTTTGGTGGGGTGGGGAAGTTCTTTGCAAACTTTTAATGTTCTCTTTTTATTTCTCTTTTCTAGGCATGCCATGGATGTTCGTCAGGATCCAAATGCGACTGTAGCGGAACAAAAGGGGGAAAGGTGAGCAGGTGTGTGTGTGTGTGTGTGTGTGTGTGTGTGCGCAGGAGGAAACATATCTGGATCCTGAAGAGTTTTTGCTCCACTGGACTAAAAGAATTTGACAAGCCGCACAGCAATGAAAACAATTTATATTCTGCTCTGTTTTCTCTAACAAAAAAATATAACTATTTGTTTATAGAGAGTTTCTAATAAATGTGTTCAGATTTCAATGTTAGTAATTAAGATCGTTGTAAGAATTTAAATATTTGTAACCTGCCAGTTGGCTAAGTCTCAAAGGCAGATTGTTAAACATTCTATGAATTATACCTAAAAGCACATGGAATATATTTATAGGATACTTTATAATACATATAATCCATTAATTATTGCATACCTTACAAAAGAGGGAGATCAGGGGAAGCATTCCTTTCAGTACTTGGGTCCTACTATGAATGGAGCCTTGTGTACTGGTATTGATACCTTGAATTGAGTACATAAATTTCAAGATCACCGTAACTGGCTCTTCTTACTGCTCAAGCCAAGAACCTGGTTGTGGCATTTTTCACTAGATGCAGTTTCTGGGCCGTATTCAAGGGCAGCACTACATAAAGTGTGTTGCAGTAGTCTAGATGGGAGGCTATTCCTTTTTCAAAAAAAAGTTTATAAAATCTCAAGGTTGTATGCAGAGTTAATAAAAATGCAGGAATAAACCCATTTATTTATTATCATGAAAAAGAATTACACCACTTGATTGTAAAAAAAAAAAAGCCCAACAACCTCAAAGCACTTTACAAAAGGGGAAAAAATAGTAAAACTGAGAAAAAATGGACAACCCTACTTGAAAACATACCAAAGTTCAAATAATAAAACAGATTAAATTACCTCAACTTTCTATACATCTGCATAGGCTTGTCTAAACAGGAATGTTTGGGGCAGGTGCCAAAAATAGTACAGTGAAGGCGCCTGCTTGATCTCAACAAGCAGGGAGTTCCAAAGTTTGGGTGCTGCCACACTAAATGATCAAATGCAGAAACAAAACATGTACAAAACAGGAAAATATCCAACCTAAGGCAAATTTAAACCAACTGGTACTAAAAGTCAGATAAGGCCTGGGAATAAAAAAATGAGTTGTTTTTATTCAATTGTTCAAAAGGACCCTAATTGACAGCTGGTTTGGTGCCTGCTTCAGTTCAGAGAGGAGAATGTTCCACAGAGAACACAACAGAACAGACTCTCCCCCAATTCTAACAGGGTACACTTTCAAAATCTGAGCATGCCCAAAGGACCATGAAGTCCAACTACTTCAGGAAACATATTTATTAATGCCAATTAAATATCAGTCCCTAAGCATTTTTAGGAAACTGCTCATGGAGGAGAGAGCTACAGATGGCTCCTAGCCATGATGGCTCTGTTCTGCCTCCATGGCTGGATCATCAGTGCTTCTGAATAGCAGGAGCTGGAAGCTGCAGGAGGGCAGAAGAGTGTTCTTGTGCGCAGGTCCTGCACCTAGTTGGCTGCTGCGAGAACAGGATGCTGGACTAGTCCCCTGAGGAAGAACTGTAAGAAAACAACATGGCATTTTACAACTGGTATTAACAAACTCTTCTCCTGCGCCCATTAGATTCCAAGCTATTTTTTAAACTCTCTTAAATACTAAATAGTAGCAACACCAATAAGAGGAGTAGAAAAAAGAAAGGAGCTAATTGGGGAAACCCCAAAACTTTCCAGATCACCTTTAGGAACATAGGAAGCTGACTGATTAAGGACATAGGTCCATCTAGCTCAGTATTGTCTACACGGACTGGCAGCTGTTGTCCAGGATTTCAGGCAGGAGTTATTCCCTGGAGATACCAGGGATTGAACCTGAGACCTTCTGCATGCAAAAACAGATGCTCTACTACAGAGCTCTGGTCCTTCCTCCTTGGCCTGATGTCTTGAGTCAGTATGGAAGGAGTGAGGCGAACGTCTCTATGGAGGGACTTCTATACATTTGGAGTTATACTGTTTTGGTAAGGGATGTGGGTGGTGCTGTGGGTTAAACCACAGAGCCTAGGACTTGTTGATCAGAAGGTTGGCAGTTCGAATCCCCATGACGGGGTGAGCTCCCGTTGCTCAGTCCCTGCTCCTGCCAACCTAGCAATTTGAAAGCACATCAAAGTGCAAGTAGATAAATAGGTACCGCTGCAGTGGGAAGGTAAACGGCATTTCCGTGCACTGCTTTGGTTTGCCAGAAGCAGCTTAGTCATGCTGGCTACATGAACTGGAAGCTGTACACCGGCTCCCTCGGCCAATAAAGCGAGATGAGCGCCACAACCCCAAAGTCGATCACAACTGGACCTAATGGTCAGGGGTCCCTTTACCTTTACTGTTTTGGTGCCACCATAAATAAAGCCCTGTCCTGTGTTGTCACCAGGGTGGCCATGTGTTACACTCTGCAGAGGGTAGTCCTCTGTTGGATTGATTCTTCTGTTTGAGGGATGGGGGAACCTGTAGCTTTCCAGATGTGGCTAGCAGAGCGTGCATTGATGTCTGTTAGCATATGGAGAGCCACAGTTCCCCACTGCTCTCCTGAATATGATTTAAGCTGGTTTTTGGTTTCTGCTTCACTTAAACATCACTTTAACACCCTCCAAGGCACCCTATTTCTATAATTTTAACTTGCTTTAAACTGTTTTTCAATATTGTGTTTTAATTGTTGTAACCCGCCCTGGATAAAATAAGTGGTTGTGCTTGTGAATGTAAATTTCCAATGGAATTGAAAAGCACAATTCAGTTTCTTTTGGTTCTCAAACTTGCCACTGAGTTACGCTTTCAGTGCCAAGCTGCGTTGGTGCAGTAAACATTTCCCCCAGTGAGTTGTTCGGGGTGCCTCACAGAAGCTACCCCAGGGGCCACGCCTATCTATCCAGGTGGCTCAATTGAATGAGATCATATTTTGGCAAATGTGCTTGCCAAAGGTTCATAGCATATGTGTGTGCTAAGCCTAAGGCTTAGTCTTCTTGGCAATAATACAAGGTTAAATGAGGTTGTGCTGCTAAAACTTCACTTTGTTTTTGTTTGTGTGCGTGTGCGCGTGCACACACACATACTTAAAAAGTACCATTATGAACTTCTGTCATAATGATAGAGGGCCTTTTTTATAAAAGAAAGAAAAAGAAAGAAAGATAAATGCTGTGTGGTTTGAACAAACAAGGAGGGCTTTTTGCAGGAGGCAAAGGGTCAAGCTAGGCATGGATGCTGGTAGCAGATGCACCCAACTGCAACTTCAGAGAGGAGTACTGTAGCTGGATCAGGCCAGTGGCTGAATCAGGCCATCTTGTCCAGAATCCTGTTCTCACAGCGTCCAGCCAGATGTCCTAATGGGGAGCCTGCAAGCAGGACCTGAGTGCAATAGCAGACCACCACATTTGGGAGTCCCACCAGTTCAGGGGGCTCCCTGCCTCTAGCATTCCCAACACAGCTAGTAGGAACAGATAGCCTTATCATACATGAATAGGTCTAGTCTTCCACCTCCCTTTCTTAAGACCATCCAAGTTGGGTTTTCATCAGGATTCCACATTGACATGGTTTGATGAAAATTGATAGAACTGTTTATGAAATAGTTATGGGGAAGCTTTGGCCCATCAGATGTTGCTATGCCATGCTGTCTTAGAATCATAGAATCATAGAATCATAGAATCATAGAATCATAGAATCATAGAGTTGGAAGAGACCACAAGGGCCATCGAGTCCAACCCCCTGCCAAGCAGGAAACACCATCAGAGCACTCCTGACATATGGTTGTCAAGCCTCTGCTTAAAGACCTCCAAAGAAGGAGACTCCACCACACTCCTTGGCAGCAAATTCCACTGTCGAACAGCTCTTACTTGGCTTTCGTTTTTTAAAACCAACCTTCCTTCCTTCCAGCCAGAATCAACATATCCTTCTGTATAGATAAAAATGAAAATGTAGTCAAGCTCTGCAGTTCTCATGGCCATGATAGGCAGCCATGCTAGCTGCAGCATAAGGAACATCAGGCCAGCTATTCAACAGGGGGGCAAGAGTTCCCTGGGAAGAGAGATTGATGGTTATACCATTCTGAGAACTGTAGCTCTGTGAGGGAAATAGAGGGTCTCCCAAGAACCCTTAGCACTCTTCACAAACTGCAGCTCCCAGAATTCTTTAGGGGGAATTGTGACTGTCAAGGTGGTATAACAATGCTTTAGATGTATGGTGTGATTGTGGCCTATATCAATGGGTGACTGCGACAGTGATGCAGGACAAGGTATCTCACTCTGATGGCTTCCATTTGTGCTAATCAGTTTCCTCCTGTAGGACAAGTTCTTGGCGGGTTCTTCTTCAGGGCATGAACTGTCATCCATCTCTCTTGTTCCAGATGCTTAACATAGCTAATCCATGAGAACAATTCAGAAGCACACACTCTTTGTTGAGTATCTAAAACAAATAACACCACATGTACACCTTTTGCTTCCCTAATCCCTGCGCAAATTGCATGGGCTCCGATGCTGGAAAACATCTGCCTGACAAGAGGCTGCCGTTCCGTGTGCTGCTGAACAGTCCCACCTGCGCTATGTGAACATTAAAGGTCTTTGCCATGATTCAACCCTTTCCACTGTTTCCCAACATACACATTTCTCAAGGCAGATTCCATGCATATCAGGGCTGATCTGCACTTGCCTTCTACGAGGAAAAATTACACTGTATGTTGGTCTCAGAAGGCAGGGCTGCCCTTGCTGCATCCACCAAAGGAAAACGGGCATTTTAAGAGCGTGAAATAGGTGGAATTCAGAGATAGCAATCTCACATTTCAAAATTCTTTCCTCTCACCAGGAAGTTTAAAAAGTGCTTCCACAAAATATTTATTTTCCCGTAGCAGTATTAGGGAACCATTTCATATCAGCCCCAGCCAGAATAGCCAATAGTCAGGGATGATGGGAGTTGTCATCCAAAAACATCTGAAGGGTCACTGCTTCCTCATCTCCATCCTATAACCAGCCTTAGTTAAAAAAACAAGCAAACCACAGTACAACCACTGCAGTTAACAAATGAAAGGAATTATGTAACTAGTTCTGTCTCTTAATACTGCAGGGCCTTAGCAGTGTTTGCCCCTGAGCAAGTGCTATTTAGAGATGTACTGCCTCTGGAACTGAGTAAGATGTGATTGTACTGTATGTTCAAGGAAAAGAAGAGAACTATAGTGCAACCAATTAGGAATCATCTTAGTGGTGATTATTTCAAACAGGCTGCATGCTATTTCCTGAGGCTTAGAAAAGCTCCCAAGTCAGGCTGGCTTACTCTCCTGAGCACTTAGGACTCTGCAAACTGTTTCCTAGTGGCTGGGCCTGTCTTTGCCTTTTACCCCCTGTTCACCTTGCCACCACCTCACTACCTGCATGCTAGGTACAGGGTGTGATAGCAGAATGCATGCCAAAGCTACATATTTAGTGCTTAGGACAAACAAACAATCCATACAAAAGTGAATGGAATGCTTGAGGACTTTCCTGGATTCAAGCTATTTGGGCCATGTTAAGATCAAACCTGGCAATGGATTAAAGTAGAAATAGCAGGCTCACGGAGCTGTGCAAGATAATCCCTTCCAGGTATCACCTATTTCCTGTACTAATTAGCAGCTCACTATAGGGGAAATTCATATATTGGATGCAAGATTTGGTTGACCTTTTGGCCATGATGTAAAGAATTAGTTCAATGTGCCAAGGCTGACCCAGCTTTCAGAAGTGGATCACTAAGAACAAAAAACATAGAAGATCTTGGAGCACATTCCCCATGTGTCTTCATCAGGCCCTCTAAAGCAGGGATAGTTACTGCAGATAGTTAGTATTTTCCAGGGACAGTCCCAGATTTACAGAAGCCATCCTGGTTTCTGATTTGATCCTGGAATGTCCCGCTTTCCCTTAGGACATCCCAATTTTCATTAGAGAAATATTGGAGGGTATGGAGTTATCCAACCCCTGAGCCATCTGAAGGCAGCTCACTATAAGGAAGGTTTTTTAATGTTTATTATGTTTTTAATATTTTGGAAGCTGCCTAGAGTGGCTGGGGCAACCCAGTCAGATGGGTGGGGTATAAGTAGTAAGAATATTATTATTAAATAGGACATCCCTATTTTCATCGGAGAAATGTTGGAGGCTATGTTAATATAGTGCCCTCCCAGTGTTGTGGACAACAGCTCCCATACCCCATGACCATTGACCTTCCTCGCTGGGTCTGATGAGAGTTAAAGTCCCTGATCTCTGGAGGGTGTCATGTTGGCAGTCTGTCCTCTAAAAGACTTACATTTGCCCGGAGCTTCCAGCAGGCTTGCTTGAGGGCTTCCCATCATCTTCTGGTTGACACATGCTGGTTAACACAACCAGCTGTCTGAGGAGACTGGGATGGGGCAGAAGGACCGTTCCACTGGCAGAGAAGAGAGCTGCTGGTGGGGCAGCATGTCCACGCTAGAGGCCCACCTGCAAAAGGCTGTACTGCTGTTAGGGGCTGAAACAGGGCATTCCTGTTGGTGGTGGTCTTTGAATATACGAGATCCAAAGTTCCCTCATTCACCTAAGACACACATGGGTTGGGCCTCAACCTAAGCCAACATGGCATCAGTGGAAGGGAAATTGGTTTTTTTAAAACAAAAAACAAGAACAACTTGGGGAAGAAAAAGTTGTAGCCATTGATAGTCTTACACTCAGTGAGTTTGTATAATTCTCTTTAAAAGCCATTCAAGTTGGTAGTCATCACTATATCTGTCTGTCCTGAATCTTCCAATATTCAGCACCATTGGATGCCCATGAATTCTAGTGTTATGAGAAAAGGAGAAAAACTTTTCTCTCTTAGCTTTCTCCACACTGTGTTTAAATTTTGTATACATTGATCCTGTCCCCCATTAGTCACCTTTTTTTTTT